CATGCATGCATGCACACATAACCTGCATATATCCATGCATAAATGCACACACACACAGCTTGCATATACCCATGCATACATGCACACATAACCTGCATACATCCATGCATGCATGCACACATAACCTTCATATATCCATGCATAAATGCACACACACACAGCTTGCATATACCCATGCATACATGCACACATAACCTGCATACATCCATCCATGCATGCACACATAACCGGCATGTATCCATGCATGTATGCATAAATGCACACACACACAGCTTGCATATATCCATGCATACATGCACACACAACCTGCATACATCCCATGCATGCACACATAATGTATCCATGCATGTATGCATAAATGCACACACACACAGCTTGCATATATCCATGCATACATGCACACACAACCTGCATACATCCATGCATGCATGCACACATAACCTGCATATATCCATGCATGTATGCATAAATGCACACACACAGCTTGCATATATCCATGCATACATGCACACATAACCCGCATACATCCATGCATGCATGCACACATAACCTGCATATATCCATGCATGTATGCATAAATGCACACACACAGCTTGCATATATCCATGCATACATGCACACATAACCCGCATACATCCATGCATGCATGCACACATAACCTGCATATATCCATGCATGTATGCATAAATGCACACACACAGCTTGCATATATCCATGCATACATGCACACATAACCTGCATACATCCATGCATGCATGCACACATAACCTGCATATATCCATGCATGTATGCATAAATGCACACACACAGCTTGCATATATCCATGCATACATGCACACATAACCTGCATACATCCATGCATGCATGCACACATAGCCTGCATATATCCATGCATGTATGCATAAATGCACACACACAGCTTGCATATATCCATGCATACATGCACACATAACCTGCATACATCCATGCATGCATGCACACATAACCTGCATATATCCATGCACGTATGCATAAATGCACACACACACAGCTTGCATATATCCATGCATACATGCACACATAACCTGCATACATCCATGCATGCATGCACACATAACCTGTCCACGCATGTATGCATAAATGCACACACACACACAGCTTGCATATATCCATGCATACATGCACACATAACCTGCATACATCCATGCATGCATACACACATAACCTGCATATATCCATGCATGTATGCATAAATGCACACTTAGCCTGCATATATCCATGCATACATGCACACATAACCTGCAGGTATCCATGCGTACATGCATACATGCACACATAGCCTGCATATATCCATGCATACATGCATAAATGCACACATAGCCTGCATATATCCATGCATACATGCACACATAACCTGCATATATCCATGCATACATGCACACCTAACCTGCATATATTCATGCACACATACCATGCATATATTCATGCATACATGCATACATGCACACACAACCTGCATACATCCATGCATGCGTACATGCACAAACAACATGCACATACTCACACATGCACATACTCAAGCAGCCACAAACATTCACACACACAGACATACATACATACATACATACATACATACATACATACATACATACATTCAGACATACATACAGGAAAACTGACAGGCACACAGAGACACACAGTCAATGCCGACGGAGATACACATGTATATATGCATGCCTGCATGAATGAGTGAATAAATTGATACATGCATATATACGTGCGTACATGCGTACAGGCATCCAGGTATCCAGGCATACCTGCATACGTGCATACCTGCATACATAGATACACACATGCATGTGTACACATGGAGACATGCACACGTATACATTGATGCAGCGTGTGACTCCAGTCAAGAGATATAAGAGGCACACTCTGCCCTTGCCTGGTGAGGAGCAAAAGGCGGTCTTTTCCATTCGCCAGGCTTTACAGAAGGCGCAGACGTTCGGGGTGACTGTCTGACCATGATGGGGCGAGCCAAGTTCCAAGGAAAAAACAGGGAAGGGTTGAAAGAAACGGTTTGGAGGGTGAAAACAAAGGTTCCCCATTTTCTCTGCGCATCTGCTGATTTGGAGCCGCGGACTTGTAGCAGCCTGTGCCTCTGAGTGTCCAGAGGGCCTCTGAGGACCGAGGGCTCACGCCATGGCGCTGCTTGCAGTTTTCGCTTTTCGTGGCATCTTCTTTAGTTGTTGGGTTTGTTCATAAGGTCATGGTTCAAAGCCAATGAGATCCCATTTTGGGGTAGATGAATTCACCACCCAGTTTAGAGGCTATTTTAGTGGGGATTGGGATGTTCACTGGGGGTACGGGGTTTTGACCCATGGCCATATCTAGTGGCAGACGCGCGGCAAAGCACCAGGTATGTCGTAAATACATATTTGAAAGAAGGGGGCTGCACCGCTTCATTTTTTTTAGGCAGACTCTTGGCGGCTGTAATTCATTGGTTGATGTACGTTTTTCCGTGTCTTTCCTGGGAAACGAGGCTTTGTACTCCGCACCATGCGGTCGGCTCAAGAGGAAAGAGGACCCTGACTCCCTGACTGATTGCGAACTTTAGCACCCAACTGCCATGGTAGGGGGAGACTTTGCTTTACAGACCCTCGGGCCTGCAAACCAGACTTCTGAATCCAAGATAGCAGTTGAGCTCAACCCAGTCAGCTTGACACTTGGCCGTCCGAACTCCCAAAGAGACCTTGAAGCCAAGCGGCGACCCGCGACCTTCGGACCCGCGTGCGGCCGAGTCCCGGCACTCAGCGGAGGGGGCAACGGTGGTGTTCGGAGTTGTGCTTTCATGTCTTCGCAGTTCCCCAATCCTCACAAGATTCTGAAAGTTATGCCATTGCTCATGCTACCACCTACCCAGCATTACCTAGTAATACTACACTGCTGCTGCTGTTCCTTCTGCGGCTACAACCGCCACCACGACTCCTACCACCACCACTACCACAACTAGTTTAATATGCGCCTGGCTCTGAGGCCATGCTGAGGCGCCGAGCGGGGGGAGTGGGAAGGGTGCACAGGAGACGCGGTGGTTCTTTTTGGACTTGGATTTGAAGGCAAGCCAAAGGAAAACCCGAAAGAGGGAATCCATCGGAAAGCATAGCAACATTGGAAACCAAGGGAAGCCACAGGAGGGAGGTCCCTATCGTCCGCATTGGGAGAGCAGGATATGCCGGGATCACAGTTCAACCGCATGTGCAACAAGAGCTGCTGGGGTTACCATCGGTTTTTGTTCCCGGTACTTCCCCAATCAAATGAGAACGAGATCACACAGATCTCACAGCTATGGCTGGATCATCATGGTTTGCATCATGCATGATAGGTACATGAAGCCTTCAAGATGCGGTCATGACCCCTGATTTTAGAGAGAGGTGTATTGTCCAACCTCCAGGTTTGTGACTCCAGGACAGTGAATCCGTTGCAGTCCCAAGGTTCGGTGTGCCTTTTCCTGCGGCTTCTTAAAGTTCTGTGTGCTTCTTCAGGCGCGCACAATCAAGTTTGGGAATGGGCGAGTGCCCGTGCCACTGAGGACATGGGCGGCCGACCTAAACTCCCCACAAGAAGCACACATCCCATGTGGCTCTGGTTTAAAGGGACCACCCAGTTTGGGGGTTCCCCTATTTTGAGCCAACCCCCCCGTCATCTTGGGGAACACCAAATCTTATATCAAGAATGTTTTTCCATGGCTCAGATGGGGGTGTCTTTTATTCGGATTCCCCCCAAAATGGTGACTTTCCCTTTCTTTGATAGCTCTAAACAGGGGGTCCCCTCAAAAAGAGACACGCTGTGGGCAGAATCATTTGCTGCCTTCCCGCGGATCCAGGAACTTATCGTTGGTCGCGTTCGCGGTGGTTGCGACCGCGGATGAGGCATCGGGCGATGGTTTTCTTGGGTAGTGGATGGAGAACTGGTTGACTTGCATTCTCCTGTCAAAGGGGGTTCAGACTTTCGAAGGAGCCAAAGCCACCCCACCTATGGGCTTATTAGTCCGGGGTTCACATGAACCCTTCAAAAGCAAGCAACATAAAAGCAACCGGTGTCCTTTTTCCCGTTGGGATTCACTTGCCTTTTGAGAGATGCAATGCCAGCCCAGTTGATCAAGCAGAAACCGCTGGTTGATTTTGATCGGAGTTCGAGTGCCCATAGAGGGACGCCGGGACCTTCAAAGGGGTCTATGCGGGGTGGGTGCTATCCCTTAAAGCCTCGATTGGCTGGCTCAAAAAACCAGCTTGCCCTGGCAAGTGGAAACATGGACCAAAACCTGCGTAACCCCTCCTGTTTAATTTTGAGCCACACCCAATTAGGTCTTGTTAGCTGCCAGCTGCCTATTTATCCTTGTATCCCTGGCTGGGATAGCCACCCCGTTTCGCCCACGCTTGAGGTCCCTTGGGCCTTTGCAGCAGGCAACCAGGATATTGACCTCTAGATTTGGGTTCTTGGCAGTTTCCCCGTGTTGCCTACTATACGGCCTTGCCTGGATCAACAGGGTAGTATGCAACTACCACATTTGGACACAGTCAGGCGTAGCTGACCGTTGATTTGTTTGCCTTGTTGGCATTCCTGCGTTTTCCATTTCCAATCTAAGCCTGCTTTCGGGTATCTGCGTTTGTAGGTGTCTCGGGACCTTTTGGCAGCTCCAAGTTTGGGCAGTTGCAACCCCCGCCGGCTGGCTCTTTGACGGTCCCGATGGGAACTCTGCCATTTGAACCAGCTTTGGAGGCAAAGTCAATGGTGCGAATTAGAACTAAACAGCACTCTGGACTTTTTCGATCAAACCACTCAAGCGAGTTGTCCAAGAGCTGCGAGAGGTTCATCCTTCTGACCAAGGAGTCACCAGCTAGCCCTGAGCACTTGCCCGTCCCCGCTTAGGGCTGCTGCTTTACCATCGGCTATGGCTCCATGATGAAGCCGGGAGCTCGGTGCCAGAGAGGAAGCTGGCGACTCTTTAATGCACGTTTAGCATGTGCGTGTGTATATATATATATATGAGCCACGGACAAAACATACGAAGACCACTTTATCAAGGTGGGGTACGTTTTTGCATAACACATGCCAAAACCATGGAAAACGATAAGGTCTCCCCCAAAAACGATAACCCTTAGCTAACACGCGGCTCTATAATAACCCCTGCAGTTGCAACTTAGTTAGGGTGGGACCCTTGCGTGGCCACCGTAAAACGAGAAGGCGAGTCGCCACTTTCGAGCTGGAGCTGCCAAGGTGTGCTTCGTAAATACGACACTTGTACTGAGAAGTTGCGATTTTCGAGCTGGAGATGCGGAAGTGTATTTCGCGCACTAGACTTGTACTACAAAGTTGCGATTTTCGAGCTGGAGCTGCGGAAGTGTACTTCGCGTACTAGACTTGTACTACAAAGTTGCGATTTTCGAGCTGGAGCTGCGGAAGTGTACTTCGCGTACTAGACTTGCACTACAAAGTTGCGATTTTCGAGCTGGAGATGCGGAAGTGTACTTCGCGTACTAGACTTGTACTACAAAGTTGCGATTTTCGAGCTGGAGATGCGGAAGTGTACTTCGCGTACTAGACTTGTGCTACAAAGTTGCGATTTTGGAGCTGGAGATGTGGAAGTGTACTAGACTTGTGCTACAAAGTTGCGATTTTCGAGCTGGAGATGCGGAAGTGTACTTCGCGCGCGGAAGAGTACTTCGCGTACTAGACTTGTACTACACAGCTGCGATTTTCGAGCTGAGCTGCGGAAGTGTACTTCGCGTACTAGACTTGTACTACAAAGTTGCGATTTTCGAGCTGGAGATGCGGAAGTAAGTGTACTTCGCGTACTAGACTTGTGCTACAAAGTTGCGATTTTCGAGCTGGAGCTGCGGAAGTGTACTTTGCGTACTAGGCTTGTGCTACAAAGTTGCGATTTCCGAGCTGGAGATGCGGAAGTGCGCTTCGCGTACTAGACTTGTACTACACAGCTGCGATTTTCGAGCTGGAGATGTGGAAGTGTACTAGACTTGTACTACAAAGTTGCGATTTTCGAGCTGGAGCTGCGGAAGTGTACTTCGCGCACTAGACTTGTACTACAAAGTTGCGATTTTCGAGCTGGAGCTGCGGAAGTGCATTTCGCGTACTAGACTTGTACTACAAAGTTGCGATTTTCGAGCTGGAGCTACGGAAGTGTAATTCGCGTACTAGACTTGTACTACAAAGTTGCGATTTTCGAGCCGGACCTGCCAATGTTCGAAAACACTGTAAAACGATAAGGTCTCCCCCAAAAACGATAACGTTCAAAAAAGTACTAGGGCCAAGTAAAGTTTTTCGTCCGCTCCTCATATATAGGTGTGTCTATCTTGTTGTGGTTTTCAAAGGACACCATAGGGAAAACCTCATTTTTTCTTCGGTGGGGGGGGGGCGGGGATCCCCTCAAACAGAGACAGACCCACATTAATATATATATATATATATAGAAATATATACATATTGTTTTGTTTGGCAAGTGACCAATGCAGCGGTACGGGCTTGTATGAAGTGCGTATTGGTGTAGTAGTGATCAAGTGACGAATCAAGTGTTATTTATCAGTTTAGAAACATTATTAGGCTGAGAAATGTTTTTCTTTCTAGGTTGGAGTCGGTTTTCCCAGTAAATGCAAACAGTAAAAGCCAACAAGTAAAGCTTTTGGACCCGTGACAAGTAAAAACAAGTAAAACTGCATGAACTTAAAATCGGCAGGTTACCGGTTTGCCTTTTGCTAGGCTAACATACACTGGCTTTGTGTTGCGTTGTTGTGCCTGATGAGCATTTGTTGTGATGTGTTGTTTGCTTTCAAACCAGGCGTGCCAATTGGCTCAACACAGAAACAGACCGCATACAACTCAAACCACAAACAACGCAGAATACAAAAAGCAAAGAAAACAACAATCGCAGAGGAGAGGTGTGGGTTTTCTTATTTTTTCATGGCTGGATCGAGTTGTCTTCCTTCCAGCTGAGTGACGATGCAGAAGTGGCATGTTTCTTTGCATTATCCCTCCTACAAGCCAAGAACAGCTTGTTCTGGTTTTTGGGCATAGTTGGGTGAGTATCAAAAGTACAAGCTAAAAACACCTGTGTTATGTTGCGTGAAGGGACAATGCCAGCACACCAAAACAACTCAAGAAGCACCAAAGGAAAGACCAATCACTCGAGAAAGCGATCACAGGAGATCTTAGTGTTGTTGTTTTTCCGAAAGTTGTGTTGATTGTTTTTGTTTCTTTGTTCGAGCTTCTTTTGTTGATGTCCCTCAGTTTGTTGTTTGTTTGGCATTGTCCGCCTCAATCTGTTTTTGGTGAGTATCAGCAGGAACAGAAGGAACAAACAAAGCTCTTTTTTTTTGGAAGGATAATGCCAACAAGGCCCACAACTCACTATTTGGTTGTTGAGGGCAGAAGGTAAAACAACAAGACGCCTTCTTTCCAAACCAAACAAACTCAAAGAAATCCAACAAAGAAATGAGTGAGACCCAACAACACATGTCTTTTGGCAAAACCAAACGTTATCCTCTGATTGTTATGTTTTGTTTGTGATGGTTTCGTTGTATCACGTTTTTTTGAGTTGCTTTCCCGGAGTTGTTTGTTTTGCATTATCCCTCGAAACAAACAGTGTCTGATTGGTTGAACACCAAAAACAAACACGCCTCGCGGAGAAAATCACACAACACAAACAATAGCTTTCGTCAAAGCCATCACTTCTGCTTTAAAATGTAGCTTTGGATGGACGGAGGTTATATACCACTTATGCAAGTGGGTATATACTGTGTTGCAAGCTTATATTGTGGTATACAAGCATCCATGCCTCCAAAACCCATACCTGGTGTGGTACTCAAGCGCCGGTCAACCATTGCGTTGTTTCAAGCCTTCCAAATAGGGGCCTCAAATTTCAATATTATCGTATGGCCATGAGTCACAAGAATGCTCGTTTAGCAAGACATGTTGGTTGCAGCTGCCAGCATCTTGACCTCCTTACGGAATATGGGCCGCCGTGTGTGCTTAGCCACGCACCCTGAGACCCTTTTTGATCCCAGATCTTGAGGGAATTCCATCCTTATCCTATGGAATTTGGGACCAACTGGGACCAACAAGGCTTCCAATTCTTTCCGTTTGGGTCACCGGAGTGGCAATGGGGTTTACGAACCCCGGACCTTTCGTGGTGCCCGGTTTGTGTTGCCCCACCATATTTTCTGCGAAAATCCACTGGAGACTCGGATTGCATTTGCGCGAGGCCTTGTTGCCTCGTCACGGAGATGAAGGGCACAGAGGACTGCAGCTCTGGCTGAAAACTGCAACAGGGGTACTAATATGAGGCTCGGTCAATTTGACTGGCAGTCGATGGTCCATTTGGGAGGCACAAGAAGGCGGGACGAGCTCCAAATGAGCCTGCTTTACGGGCCGGAAGTCCTTGAAAATGCAAAAGGCATCACATGTATCGCCAAAACGCCGACCATGGAAGGCTGAAAGGGTTGTAAATGCAAGGAGTCGGCAGCACATGCTGCTTAAATGCGCTTTTTGGAAAAGCATGGCTTCCCACGAAGGGAAACATGAGGCCCGCAAAGGGACGGCAAAAGGCCGAAGTTTCGGTGAATTCCAGGCACCTTGATGCTGAACAAGCCCCCGTATCCCTGCTTTGGTGGCCAAAAACTTGCGTCTGTGGGTCATTTTGAAATGAGTTTCATTTTGTTCGGAGTGGTTGCCGGCACAGGCAAGGAACCCTGAAGGTTTCAATCTGCAATTTGCTTTAGTAAGGCTAGGAGCTACACACATGAGCAACAACCAACCATGGTTTTGTTTCATTTGGTAGCACAAAATCGATGTCTATGTTTCCACCAAAGGGGGCGCAGACTTGTTTTCACAACAGCGGGGGGGGGAGGAGGACCCAACTGAACCTGCAGCAATTGATTAGCATTGTTCGCTGCTCACAGAATATTCTGAGGACACATGTCAACGCAAAGAAGGTTCGGCCGCAAGTTGTCCTTCCTGTGTGCATGACTTCAGAATGAGTCAACACAAGGAGCTAGTGTTTGAAGGAAGGCCTTCCACCACGGGCAATTCCCACCCTTTTACTTCCCAGGATTGGCTCCCCTTTTTGATTTGTTAGTTTTTTGGGCCCCCCTTTGTTTTCCACTACCCAGGCCATGTTTTTTTTCCTGGGGTCCCAGTTCCAACGCATAAGATCTGTTTTGGTTGGTCTCCCTAAAGGCACAAGGTCTCGCAGGCTCACTCCGCCTGAGTGCGCGAGGACTGCCTGTCCTCGCAGCCTAAAGATGCCGGCGCCTTGCTGGAAGAGGCGCTTTTCGGCGGTTTGGCTCCGACTCGCTCCGACTCGCTCCGACTCGTTCGACGTGGTCGCGGGAATTGTTTGCCGGGATTCTCTTCGTATGCCAGGATTTTGCATCGCCACATTTAAGGCAGTACGCGCGTGCCGTTTGGATTGAGCCTCCTATTCCAAAGCTGGTTGTGCCAGCTTTGGATTGTTGTTAGGGGTGTTCTTTTGATGTTATCATAATATATTCACCACATTGGAGCTGCTCCTAGGCTAGCAACTTTGTTGGAAACCACAAGCAAGCTGCTGCTTTTGGGAGTGACATCCGGTGAGCTTTGACGCAGTTTGGCAGGGGGCGCGATATTTCCCAACCGTTGGGACCCCATGAAAGGGTGAGTTGCCCTTGGTGGGGGTTGTCGGTTTTTTTGGGACCAAGGCAAAGCCCGTTTGAAGAAGCATGGACAAAATGACTTTTTCTCGGGGGCGGCCAATACACCAAAGGGTTTTGATCAGTCCCAGGCTACTGGACCAACTTGTCTAAAGCAATCGACCTAAGTTTCTATTGCTGTCCGTCTAAACGACACCAGCCAGTTCGGAGTATCTTGATTGCGATGCGGGGCCATGCCATGAGCTGCATAGGCTTTGGAGTGAAGGTCCTCTTTAGCCTGTGACTAAATTCTACCCGCCAGTTTGACATGCCACCCAAAACTCAAAACACGTATGAAGTATCGTCAGGAAACGCAAGACGCCGGAAAACGATAGGGGGCTCTCAACCTAAGTAGCGAAAGGGTCGCATGCAAGTAATTTCGACCGTGCCTCAGAGGTTTTTCTGGGTTGCATGTTAATCTGCAGGTCGCAAAGGGTGGTGTCAAAGGCCTCCTATTTTGATCAGATTACAGAGAATAAGTGAGAACTCGCCATTTTCGCCCAAACACAGGCTTGTCGATTGGTCTGAAGTCAAACCATCTAAAAACCTGCCATTCCCCCCCCTCCCCAGTTGAAGCCTCTGAGCCTTTTGCTTGCAGCGCCGTTTCTTTGAGGCGAAGACGATGACGATGCACGGCATTGGGGGTGATGGGCCCGCCTGGCGTCAGAGCTGTCCCACTTCGGCCGGGGACCGCGGAAGACCACGGAACATCTGACCTTGAAATCTATGGGATTTGGCTCAAAACTACTGGATCTAAGTTACTGGATCCTCAACTATTCTACGGGTTTAGGTGAGTTCCAACAAGGTTTGTTTTACTGGATCCAATGATGGAAAGCAGGCTTTGGGTCGATAGACGTTGCCACTTTGGGAGTGCCCCCCCAAATATGTCTGTAGAAGGGGTTGATTCTTGCATGCCTGCTGCTGGCTGCCGGTGATGTCTGGCGATGCGCAGTATTGGATCATTTGGATTGGTGGTTTGGAGGTGTTCCGGGGGTGGGCCAAGCCGTGTAGCCTCAACAGGAACAACCTCAGACTAATCCAAACAGCAAAAGACAAAGTAGTCTGATTGCACGCGAGTTTGCTTGGGGGCTGGAGGGGTGGCTTTGGGGGACAATGGATACAGTGATACGGTGCAATGTGTTTACCGGATTTGGTAAGTGAGTATCAAACTTTGTGTAACCCACGCAAGTTCACAGCCTTGGCAAGTGGGTTGTCACAGCGAGTTCCTGGACTTTCGTCGCTTTTTGGGACGTGCATTTTTGTGGTAACAACAAAAAGTTTGGCTACTTTTTCCGGCCAATCTACTTCTTCGGAATGGATACCATGGCAACTCGCCTAAGTTGGCTTGGTTGTCCTCACCACAAAGGAACATGTTGCCATCTACTTTCCCCGTATTGGGAAGGGACGTCCCCTCAAGGCTGGGAAAAATCGCCCTGTTTAGTTGGTTGCTTTCGGAAGGAAAAAACAAAAAAACTTGAAAAAAACAACTAAAACCAAAAACTCACTTCTTTCCCCTTGGCCCTTCATCCGCAGCTCCGAGCCCCAATGGCTTCTGGCTCCAGCCACCATGCGCGGCTCGCTCTCCAAAGACTCGGTGCGAGATGTTGGCACGTTCCAGCGGATCTCGGCGGCGGTGAAAGACATCCAGGGCGAGCTGGATGGCACCTGAGCAATTCATGGACCGTTTCTGGAATCTCTGTCAAACTGTTTTTCCTTTTTTAAAGATAGATCAAGCGCACTTGCCAAGCAGAACCCCTCAATAGCAGCCCAGTAAGTTGAAAGTTTCGTCTGCTCGCTTCCCCAGTTTTTGGTCGTGTTATTTAGCCTTGAGCAAGATCATGTTGCTTGGAAACAAGTAGTCCAGGTTCCTGACCAATCCACTCCAGAAGTGAGTTTAAGAGGAGCCAGGTGCGTTTTGTGGTTTTAGCACCTCTTGGTTTCCCTCGAAACGACTACGACTCACCTGAGTTGAGTGGTGCTTCCTTTTTGGCTCGTTGTTGTTTCCCTTTTTTCGGGGTCGTCGGATCTGCCGAAACGCCTCAACATCAGCCCCCTCAATTGGATCAAGGGCTCATTGGACCTTTGTTGGCCTTATTTCCAGGGGTACCTTCCCCATTCTTTCCAGGGATCCTTCTTTTCAGGAAACCATCAAAAACCCAGGGAGAAACAGCCGGTTTTGGAAAAGAACGATGGTTGAAAAGAATGGACAGGGAATCAACCCCTAGATTCTTGGGCCTTGCATCGCCTCGGGTTTCCAAAGAAACTAGGTCCCCCAGTAGTGCCCTTCTCTCCCCTTTTTGGTTGGGAGGGTTTCCCTACTAAAATAGACGAAACAGAAGAAAACATCGAGTACCAACTTCTTCTAACCTCTCTACTGGAGGACCTAGGAAAGGTTTGGGCCTCCAGGCGTTCCGTCACATGCGCGCTCAGTGACTCAGGCATCATCGAGAAGTCCGAGCGCGCCAAGAACTCGCTGCTGCCTGGCTTTTGGTTTTTCAGTCGGGGAGAAAACAACAAAGGACCAAACAACGCGGCCTAGGAAGAGGATTATATGTTTGAATATATGGCTGTGGGTCAAAACCAATGGTACCATTTTGGAGTAGGTGCACCACCCATGTTAGTCGATTTTAGTGGGGGATTGGGATGTTCACTGGGGGTACGGGATTTTGACCTATGGCCACATATATATATATATACACACACACATGCATGCATGCGTTATAAGTATATGCATATTCAGAATATATATATATATATGCACTGAGACCCCCACGATCTACCAATTGAATATCTGTTTTTTTGTGTGTTGTGTCCCATCTGCAATTCCAAAGCACATGTTTCTTGAAAGATATCCCACCTGCAGGTCATTCCGGTCTGTTGTGAGTCCCATCTGGAAATTTAAGCCAACTCCGTTCTTATTGAGAGTAGACTTCTACTAACAGTCCATCGAGTCCATCGTTATTAAATTCAAATCGAATTCTAAGCTAATTTACTCGAAATCCTTTTGGATATGGAAATCGTACTTGAATTCTATATTAAACTTTAGATTTTGATAAGCCTCTTTCCCTAGTAAATTATGCTGACAAACCATTAAAATGAAAGTCATGTTTGGAAGGCAACTTCTCGTTCTGAATAGATATTGTATTTTAGATGTCCCACCTGCAGATCATCGCATATCATTACTGCCTGTTTTGTGTCCCATCGGCAAATTCAATCCAACTCCATTCTATTTGAACATAGGACCTCTCACAAAATTCCACCAGTATTAAATTCAACACGAAATAACATTTATTTCAATCGAACTCCTTTTGGAACCGGAACTCGTGTTTTAGTTCTAAAGTATACTTAATTTTGGACCAAATGATGTCCCTCTTAAGTTCTACTGAAGCAACATATTAGCATGAACGTCATGTTTGGACAGGAATGCGTCGTTAAATTATCATTGTGAATAGAGCTTCTAATTGATTTGTTCATTAAAGTCTGTTCAACCTCTGTTCTTGATCTACATCCTATTGGGTGTAAGGAGCCTTGAAAGGATCGTTTAAGGAGCTTTATTGAGGGGCTTCAAAAGAGGCCTTACAAGAAACTTTACCCGCAGCTTTAAAAGGATTTGCAGCAGGAGCCTGTAAAAGGAGCTTTATAATGGGCAATAGTAAGGATCCTTATAACTAGCCCTACCAGGAGCTTACAAGGAGCTTTGAAGGTCCTTAGAACCGAATTCTATTTAGATTAACATCTATTTAATCCAGGTCCTACTTTAGGAAACTCCCCTTTCCAGTCCAATCTAGATTGAGGTCGCTGACTGCGCTGGTAAATGTGTTCAGCAAAAGATGTCAATGCCTATCGAAGCACGGTGTGTGCATACATGGTCACACCTTGAGCAAAAACATAAGGGAGCAAGTCTCAGCAAAATGCAACACAACTTGATGGACAATGCCCACAAACCAACAAATTCTCAGTGTGTTGTTGGTTTGCTGTGCGTACCAACCCTACACCCACCCTGAACCAGCTTTAAGCCACCTCAAGATCAACCCTAAACAAAACCTAAGTAAACCCTAAACCAACCCTAAGCTTTAGAACAGCACTAAAGCATTCTATACCAGGCTAAACCTACCCAAAACCCACCCTAAACCAGGCTATGTAAACCAAACCCTAAAGGGACTACCCGATCCTATAGCATTATAGCAACCATAAACCCACCCTAAATCACCAATGAACCATCCCAAAACCAACTCTCAACCAGCCCAAACCTACAGCAGCCGTAAACCAACCCAAAACCTGCCCTAAACCCACCCCAAACCAGCCCTACCAAGCTTAAACCAACTGGAAACCAACCCTAAACCCATCCTAAACCACCACAACCATCTCTGAACCTCAAACCCGCCCAAAACCAGCCCTACACCACCCTAAACCAACGCTGAACCAGCCTTAAGCCCAACCAAAACCAACTCTAACCAACCACCAAACTTCAACCCCAGCAAACTAAACCCACCCTGAATCAAGCCAACACCCACCCGAAAGAAGCCCAAGCCCGGCCCAAATCCACCCCATTGTGCTTGATCGAAAAAGTGCACCCTCTGCGGCTTTTCTGGATCGGGACCGCACCGCCGAACCTAGGAGAAAAACGGCCGCGCCGAACCTAGGAAAACAAATAAGCCTTCCGCCCTCTTTAGTTGTCAAGAAACAGTTTGTTTGTCCGAATTTGTTTCTCAAGAAGTGGGAGATTCCGAATCTCCGGGCCTGATTTCTTCCAAACCAGCACGCAGGGAGTGAGAGACGAACACGCGTCAGACGTCGACGTGGCTCGTTCGCGGAGTCGCGGAGGCTGGAGCTGAGCGCAACGGAGGCCACCCCGGAAGAGGACGGCTCCCTGCACCCGGCGCTGCAGCAGCGCTTTGGCCGCCAAGCCTCGGAGGTAACTTGCGATCGGTGCGAGAGATCCAGGGAGTGAGAGTTATGGAATGACCCCGAGAAACACCATCCAACTGGCTGTTCAATTGTTTTGGGGGACCAAAGCCTGGGTTCATTTGATTTCTCTTTCATACTCATCGCGCCAACGAGGCTTGGAGTTTTTTGGGTTACCACCCCCGCGTTTTTGAGTTGGAAGGAGACTCCAGGTGATTGGAGGAGTTAGGACGCGTTGGACGCACAGTGAGTATGTGTCAAACTAGAGGACCCGTAAAATGGGGGATGAAAATGGTCGTCCATTTGCGTAAGATGTTATTGCTATGATAAAGAGTATTTCCCCAATTGGTTGTAAACGGGTTCTGTCACTGCAAATGTGTTATGATTGTATCATTCCAACGCTTTGAACTTTTGTGAGGTTCCCTTCTGATCATTCTTTGAACGATCCTCCAATCCCCTCCAGCTCCTTGAGAAACAAGCCCAGGTGGTCCCAACAGCCCAACAGCCCTGGAATCATCCGGGACCCCCAGCCAGAAGCCGCTAACCACTCTGCGTTTTGCCTTCGATCGAGGCATTTCAATTTCCGCGGGGACTCGGTGACTGTGAGCCAAAGCTCCGGAAACCTCCGGCAGTATCCCACCTACGCGCTGTACGGAGAGTGGGAGAAGCTGAGCGCCCCGGCATTTTCTTTCACGGTGGAGGTTGCAAAGCTTGCAAAAGACAAGGGACGGAGTCAGGTCCATGGTCAAACCACCCTCCTGCCGCTTGCAAAGGTTGTGGACCTTAGGCATTTGGAAGGCATCCACAATGAATCGCACAAGTTCTCACGGCTGGTGTCTCTTTGTGACCAAATGTCGTGGTCATCATGGGATTCATGTCCATCCATTTTTGAGGTGGTCCCACTCGGATTCCTTGAGGTAACTGTTCGGCTTGAAACGAGCCTTTCGGGTGATTGCTCTCAAAACCCCCGGGAAATTTCCAGAGCTGCGGATGCCCGCAGTGATTTCTCTTTCAACTATGGGTTTTGGGTCTTCCCCATTTGGAGTCAACTTCGGTTGAGCTTATGAAGTTTCTGAAACAGGCCCAAGTGATATCCCCAGTCTCGGATCCCTTGGGACCCCGAAAACTGGCCCCAAGTCACGGAGCCTTGCCGAGGAAGCCACACGGAGTTGGCTCGGATTTGCGGCAAACTCTGGGTTTGGTCCACTGCATGGAGCAAAAGCAAAGAGGGTTGGTCACGGAACTGAAGCTCTGCGGCCGGTTCTTACAGAGACTCAAAGGGAGGAAACCCACTGTTACGCAAAGGCCACCAATAGCCATCAAAACCACTGGGTAAGAAAAGCTAGGGGACAGTGCCAACCATGAAATAGCTGCGAATAACATTTGCCTTTTCGTTTTTTACCCCGGTTTTGGGGAGACTTCTATACCAGCTTTGGCTTCTCACTTGGTGGGACGGACACATCCAAGGGGTGCCCCGTTTTTCGCGGAAAGCCTATTTTCAGTCATATTTTGTCGGCACGGTTCGTTTCGCTTCAGTTTCCAGACGCCTTCTGACTCTAAGCGTTTCGCATTCCGGTCGCGCGTGTGGGCCTCCTGGCGGTAGGGCGGAGGTTGTTTAGAACTCCGGGAATTGGTTGAGTATTGCCTCGTTCTAAGTTAGCACAATGTGAGATTAGGGGTCTAGAAACGAGCGTTTTTTAGGGTGCATTTCTTATTGGTGGTTGAATCGACCCAAAAAGGGTGGTGAGGCACGTCCAAATAACACGCACCCATTTGAACCTGACCGAAACAGTTCTAACCTTTGCGGATTCGCAAGTAGCTGCTTCAGGTCATTTCGGGGACAAGCCCCTGAGCTACCTGCGGCAACCCGTGCAGAGCATGCTAAGGCGTCAGGACACAATCTCAGGACCCGCAAGGAAACGTCTCGATCAAGCCATTTTTCTTTTTTGGGGCTACGACTAAAGGTGACATCACGCTGACCAAAGTCCCAATAGGAGAGTCGCCGAAGTCCCAAGATGAAAACACAACTCCCTGCCCACCTTCCGGGACTTTCGTCACGGCTTTGAACATGGCAAAGTTTGGACCTTCGGCCAGTCCAGTTCGGAATGAGCCATGCCGCGCGAATGCAACGGGTTAAGTCCTCTACCAGCCATATATGGCTTTCCGTAACAGCCAGGGCCCCAATTTTGCCCAGTTTTTAGACCTGCTTCGTGGCAGTTTCCAACGAAAACCAGTAGCAGATTACTCCAGTTTTTCCTGGTCTGGAAGGGTCCAGTCTTCACTCTTTTTGGGAGCATCAACTGGACATGGTGCAATATCGGCGCCTTTCTCTTAGAGCAACCTTTGCTTTTTGTGTTTTTGAAACCCTGAACCCTTTGTGGGGTCGGTGCCAAAGGGAACCTCAAGGAAGAGTACCGTTTTTGTTTGTTCTTTCTTTCTTGTTTTTCCGGGGGGAGGGCTGCTGTCCCCTGTTACCAGTTTCCAAATAGGGAAGCCCCACTATGGGGCCTGGCTCCGTTGGCATTTCTTCAAAGCAAAGTTCACATCCCTGTTGCGAAACCAGTGGCCAGTTGTGCATGCTTTGGCAGAACCCGAATTTGACACTCGGGTGATCTATCCGGCAACACCAGAACCAACCAGCAGGGCCTTGGGAGGATTTCCCTCATTCTGAAAACAGTCCCGCTATTTCCGCGCGAACATGGGAATGACTCTGGCAAACATGAGTTGATGGCGGTCGCTCCACTCGATAACCAGCCACTTTGTTTGTATCGTTGTTGTTGTTTGGGATCGTTTGTTGGAGTCAGGCATCGCTTTGCGTTGGGCATGACTTGCTTGGAGTCGCGTAGGCCTTGTGTTGGTGGTCCAGTTTCTGGCAGGGGTCTTACGGATGTATGTCTTGGCGAGGGTATCAGGTTTCAGGATGCAGGCCGTGGTTTGGTCTGGTGGCCCGGCTGGTTCCTGGGAAACGAAGCTCCGAACCAATCGCTAAGCCGAAGATTGGCGGCTTGAGAAAGCGGAGCATTCCAAATACGAGTCCGAGCCAGAGGGATCGATCAGCCTTTCCCATGTTGAGCATTGGCGAGACATGGGGTTGCCAACTTCCCTCAGAGGGATTCTTGGAAAGTGACAATGCACCAAAAGCATTGCCATGGGTTCTGGACAGGGCAAAATTGTGGGGATCATTTTCATTCTTCCATGTCATGATTCTCCCATGATTTCAAAGGTGCTTTGGTTTCAAAGTTTCACACCCAACCCCATTCGAATTCTGCAGGCCCGAGTGTCATGACATGAGTCACAATCAAAACCCGGATAGATGAAGGTTAGTAAGGGACGATCCCACCCATAAATAGCTGCGGCCGCGCTCTTAATTCCTTACATGGTTCTGGGTGAGCCAGTTGTGTACCGGGTTTTGATGACTCATGTGCCTTTTCCGCAGGACTGTCCAACTCCCTGGGCCTTGAGGCCTGGGGGATGAGAAACGGCGCGCTCAAAGCTCGAGGATCAGCTGCGACCCTATGAGGGAAACCAACTAGGGATACAGGGGGAACGGTATGGGATACGGGAGGATTTCCCTATGCGCCTAAGCTTGATATGGGAAATGGCGCCAAGGGAACCCCCTATCCCCGCTCCCTCCGTATCCCCGCTTGTTCGTTTGTTCAAACCTAAGATTCATAGATAAACAAGCATTTGCAGAGATAGATGCATGAATGGGGCGCAT